CTTTACTTTTCTTCAAAGCAGGAAACACAATAGGACTCATTGCCTCCTTGTTTCCTTTTTGTCTATTGCCTGGCTCCTTTGCACACATGTCTTGTTCACTGTGGTGTCCCAGCACCTAGAATAATAGTACCTGACACATCAAAGGAGCTCAAATCTTTGCTGAATTAATGAATTAACAAATGATTCACTTAAGCTTGAGCAGAGGGAGGGTTTCACTGATTAACTGGGTCAGTATTGGAGTGAAAAACACCAGAAGTAGAAGAGAGAAATGGAAGGAGGAAGGGTGGGCCAGGATGGCAGCAGGGGTGAGGGGCAGGATTCGAAGTGGCAAGCGGCAGGCCAGGCCACTCACAGCAGCAAAGACAGCGGTGATGTGGCGGTTGCCCTGTGGGCACAGGGGAGATGAGGCAGGTGTCTGAGGCCAGGGGGCTTCTGCAGGCAGCGGCCCAGGCACTGGGCCCCTTCTGGTCCCTCTGTGTACGCTTATTGTCCGAGGATCCCCCAGGTGTTTGAAGAGCAAAAGAGGGAGACAGGTGAGCCATTAGGAGGATCTTTCTACAGACCAGGATCCCAGAGCTTGTGGGTGACCATGGTCAGAGTCAGCCATGGGGGTGGCTTGATGGGGCAGATACTCAAGGAACCATGAGGCCAAGATGATCCTTCTGAATGTTTGAGTCACCCAGGGTGTTGTGAGTTTGGGGGAATCTAGGGGAAGATTTTGAGTCAGGTGACTTGGTCCTGAATGTTTGAAAGGATTGATTTGGAGGCAAAGGGCAATGAAGAGATTTGGAGGGTCAAAGGCATTTTGAAAGTGAGATATGATGAGGTATGTGAAAAACCAAAACCAAAACCCAGGGCAGTGACTTCTGGTCATTCCGAGTCTTTACCTTTCCCGTGCCCAGCACACTACCGGGCATATTGCTGAAGTCAAGTACATGTGTATTGAATGAATGAACACACCTCAGTAGGAGTCAGGAACATGTAAGAGAATGGATCAATAGTGGGAGCTCGCTCACAGTGAGCAGTTAGGGGGATGAGGCTGGTCTGCACAGGAAGCAGGGGTGGCAGGGGAAGCTCCAGGTCACTGCAGGAGAAGTGAATTCTGATAGTTAACATGGCTAATATTTTTGAACACCGGCTTTGTATGAGCTACTGGAATGAAGAGAAGCTGAAGATCCATGTGGGGAGGTAGGAAAGATTTATTCAAAGATAAACGTCTAAAACTCCATTCCTATTCGCACAGCCTATTTCATTAAACAGGGCAATTAAAATAGCTCATAAAGGAAGGAAAAAGCTAGTTTGGTGCTAACATTAAATTTGATACAAATAACTTAACACTAAAGGGTTTATAGCAGCGGTTCTCAACCTGTGGGTCGATACCCTTTCGGGGTCGAACGACCCTTTCACAGGGGTCACCTAAGACCATCGGAAAACACATATATAATTACATATTGTTTTTGTGATTAATCACTATGCTCTAACTATGTTCAATTTGTAACAATGGAAATACATCCTGCATATCAGATATTTACATTACGATTCATAACAGTAGCAAAATTACAGTTATGAAGTAGCCACGAAAATAATTTTATGGTTGGGGGTCACCACAACATGAGGAACTGTACTAAAGGGTCACAGCCTTAGGAAGGTTGAGAACCACTGGTTTATAGGATTAAAAAAAATCCCCTCATAACCTAGCACCACTTCTGATGTTAACTAGACTTATTGTGATGATGATTTTGTGAACAATACTCCATCTAATTTATTCAATATATGTTGTGGAGACAGGCATGGTCCAGGTGCTGGTGATAGGATACCAAGATGAACAAAGACCGTGCTTTCCTTTAAAAGGAGACAAAAATGAAAAGAAGTGATTACACACCAGAGCCATAGGGTTAAGGTCCCAAAGCTGCTGTCAGGGATGGGGAGAGAGGGGAGGTCAGAGAGAGTTCCTTCCAGAAGAAATGATCAGTTCAAGGTGGTGAGAAGAGTGTTCAGGCATGAAGCAATGATGGGTTTGGGGGCCTTATGGCGTCCATGGGATTGGAGTGTGAGTGCTGGAAGTTCGTGGTGGGGTTGGTGAGGCTGGAGGTATAGGCCTGGGTCAGGATGTGAGGGTCCATGGATCATGGGGGGTCCATTTAGGAAGCATAGGGGAGCAGCACAATTTTGCATTTTAGAAAAATCCCTTGGTTCTGGGGGATGAGTTGTTGAGCAGGATGGGTTTGAGAGGGAAGATGGTAGGCAGAGAGACAAAAAAGGAAACCCTTGCAAATAAGAAAAGATGGAGAATATTATTCAACCTTAAAAAAGAAGGAAATCCTGCCATTTGTGAACCCTGAGGGCATTATGCTAAGTAAAATAAATCAGACACAGAAAAATGCCACATGCTCTCACTTATATGTTGGTTCTAAAGAAAAAGAAAACAAACCTAAACTCAAAGGCATAGAGAACAGAACGATGGTTGTTAGAGGCAGTGTGGGGGATGGGCAGAATGGGTAAAGGTGAACAAAAGGAACAAACTTCCAATTATAAGTATGTCCTGGGGATGTACTGCACAGCATGGTGACTGTGGTTAATAATACTGTGCTGTATATTTGAAAGTTGCTAAGAGAGTAGATCTTAGAAGTTCTCATCGCAAGAAATAAAAAGTTGTAACTATGTGTGGTGATGCATATGAATTAGATTTATTGAGGTGATGATTTTGCAATACCTACATATATCCCATTATTGTGTTGTACACCTGAAACTAATGTAGTGTTATGTCAAGTATATCTCATTTAAGAAAAGAAAAGTATATAATAGGAAAGAAAAGGAAAGAAAAGGGAAGGAAAGGAAAGAAAAGGAAAGAAAAGGGAAGGAAAGGAAAGAAAAGATGAGCTCTGCCCAGACAATCAGTATGTGAATGGAAGAAAGGCGATGAGCTCAAGAGCTTTTTAGAATAGTGAAATCCTGTGGCTGTTTTGTATGGGAAGTTCTGTAATGCTTGTTACAGTCACTCACACAATGGCTGGGTAGATACAGAGGTAAACACCTAAGTTACTTTGCACAGCCTGTTGCTTTACACTGACCATTCAGAAGACACTGTAAAGAAAGCAAGAGTGAGGTATGGTATGTTATTGTTTTAAAGGCTTAGTGAATATAAATAAAAATATGAGAAAGTTGTAACAATATCCTCAAGGAAATAAAAATAAAATTTTATTGGCAATAAACGTTTTGAGACTACAAAGCAATGTATATTTATGACAATATTAAAAGTATTATGGCCGAAACCGGTTTGGCTCAGTGGATAGAGCGTCAGCCTACGAACTGAAAGTTCCCAGGTTTGATTCCGGTCAAGGGCATGTACCTGGGTTGCGGGCACATCCCCACTGGGGGATGTGCAGGAGGCAGCTGATCTATGTATCTCTCTCATCGATGTTTCTGACTCTCTATCCCTCTCCCTTCCTCTCTGTAAAAAATCAATAAAATATATTTAAAAAAGTATTATGAATCTTTTACAATATAATCGTGAATTTAACACTTGCAGTCATAGTTATTTAACATCTTTGGGCATTTATTTTTCAACTATGAAGCCATTTAAAATCAAGTATTGAAATAAACAGCATAAAACAAGACTTTATTAAATATAAAACTAAGATTTAAAAAGTGTAATAAAATACAGAGTGGGGCAAAAGTAGGCATACAGTTGTGAGTATGCTAAACAGTTTATTCTTGTATTAATATTTATTAATTACTGGAGGCTTGGTGCACGAATTCTTGCATGAGTGGGGTCCCTAGGCATGGCCAGCAATTAGGGCTGATTGGGGCCACCTTGCCCTGTCCCAATCAAGGTCAGGCCGATTGGGGCCTGCCGGCCGGGGGGAGGGATAGGGGAAGAGACTGCAGGAGGTTGGCCAGCCAGCCCTGACTGGGCTGATAGGGGTAGTCAGCTGGGGGGAGGGACTGGCTGGGGGAGGGACCGTGGGAGGTTGGTCGGCCATGGGAGGTTGGCTGTGGGAGCGCACTGACCACCAGGGGGCAGCTCCTGCATTGAGCATCTTGGTCAGTGCGGGTCATAGCGACTGGTTGTTGTCCTGGTCATTTGGTCGTAACGGTCACTTAGGCTTTTATATATATAGATTGTATTTTCTATACAAACAAATATAAACCTACTTTCGCCCCAACCTGTATATCCAATCATGTTTTTCACTGAAACTTTTAAAAAACATTGAGTTATATCATTCTATTAGTTTGAGGTGTCCAACATAATGATTTGATATTTGTATATACTGCAAGTCACTGAAACTTTGAATAAAAGTTTTAGGAAGAACAGAAATGTTTTAGTAACATTAAAACATAAGACAAAAGTTTACTTTAAAAATATTTCATTATGACCTTATCCTTATAAATTTTTTTTAAAATATATTTTTATTGATTTCAGAAAGGAAGGGAGAGGCAGAGAAAGAGGGAGAGAGAGAGAGAGAGAGAGAGAGAGAAAGAGAGAGAGAGAGATAGATAAATGTCAATGATGAGAGAGAATCATTGATTGGCTGCATCCTGCTAGCCCCTACTGGGGATCGAGCCTGCAACCCGGACATGTGCCCTTGACCTGAATCAAACCCAGGATCTTTCAGTCTGCAGGCCGATGCTCTATCCACTGAGCCAAACTAGTTAGGGCCTTATAACATTTTTTGTGTGTGTATTTTATAATGTCCATAATAGATTAATATGGTAATACAATGTGTATAATTTATAAAAACTGCAAATAACACAATTACATAAAAGGTTACCAATAAGGGTATGTGTTCAGAAATGTTTTATCTTGGGGTGAGCTGTTAAAAGGTTTGGAGACTCTGGCCTGCAGGACAAAGACCAGAGCCCTTTCCATGGCACCCAGGACCCCTTAGGATCTAGTCATATGTTTGCCACTGTGTTTCTCATCACAGTGGACTTTTTGAAGTTCCTGGATCAAACTCTACGACCTCGAATAGACTTTGCGTAGTTAGTGCCTTCTACATGCAGCACCCTCTCCAGCTTATCTTTGAAAACACAATGCTTGTCACCTTCTTTCTGAAGTCGTCCATGACTCTTAGAGATTTAAATTTACTTCCCCCATGATACCTCTGTACCTTAAATATCATTAAAAATTATCTTTATTATTGTCATATAGCTATTTATTTTTACATTTGTATCCCCTTCTAGATTGTTAGCTGCTTGGAGACTGTGTTCTTGGCCTTTCTTTGAATCCATGACACTTAACACTGACACTAAAAATAAGTATTTATTGTGAAGATTTGTATTGAGTTGCAGAGCACATTCTAGATATATTTCCATTCGAATTAGCTGAAATAAACAACCATAAACTGGCTCTACCTCAGATTTCCCCCTATGTGTGTCCTGACATTCAAGGGATTTCATATCAAGTGTAATAGCTTATTTCTCTTTTCTTTGATAAAGCCCTCTGAAAACAATGCTAAGGCAATTGAAAAGGTTGATGATCTTCTTGAGACATACATGGGAATTCGAGATATTGAATTAGGTAAGATTATACTATTTTAAAAAGTCTTCTATTTTTTAATTTGATGGAACTTAATGCTTATTTGTATCTTTCTTGCATTGATAGTCAATGATACTTTTCAAGATGAAAAGGAATTGTATAGTAATGAAAAGCATAATGAAAATAGAGATAATGAAGAATAATGAAAAGAAGGTCTGGCCTTTCCCACTTACCAGCTGGGAAAACTTAGAGTCAAGTTAACAGTTCTAAACTTTTATTTATAGGTTTATTTTATAGATTTAAAAATATATATGAAAAGAATTTTGTAAATGATACATAAACACGGTATTATTTGACATATTAGCTGCACATCTATTACATTGTATGTTTATTATATTGAAGTTGTGCACATTTATAAGATTAATGAAGCCCTATGATAAATAAACCTGGTGTATGACTGATAAGGGCAGTTGAGCAGTGAATTTCTGTGTATTTTTTTAAAAAAAATGTATTTTTATTGATTTCAGAGAGGAAGGGAGAAGGAGAGAGAGACATCAATGATGAGAGAGAATCATTGGTCAGCTGCCTCCTGCAGGCCCCACACCAGGGGCTGAGTCTGCAACCCAGGCATGTGCCCTGACCGGGAATCGAACTGTGACCTCCAGGTGGTTCACAGGTCCACGCTCAACCACTGACCAATCCGGCTGGGCAACGCCCTCTGGGTATTTCTTATGTCACCATTAGGATGTCAGAGTCTTGATTTATCAATTAAGACTTTCTCAGTTATATATAATAAAACAACAAACTGAACTCCAGTTGACTTAAGGAAAAAATAAGGTGTGTGTGTGTCGAGGATGTATTGGTTTTTGTAACTGAAAAGTCCAGAAGTAGATTCTGGCTTCAAGAATGGCTAGATCCAGAGTTCTCATGCTATCATCAGGATGTGATTTCTCTTGTCTCCATTCTGGTTTCATTTTAGGCCCCCATGGTACCCCTTGGCAGCTTCAGGCCCTCCCTCATGACCTCAGAATGACTGCCATGGCTCCACCCGCTACATCTTGGTGTCAAACACAATGGAAAAGAGGGCGGGCCTTTGCCAAGTCATTCAAACAAAATGCTCAGGATCGCCTCTGATTGGTTTGATTGGTCCACTGATCCAGTCACTCAGGCTAGGGGGATGGTTAGGTCTGGGTCACACCTCTCAGGCTGAGAGTAATTTCTGAAATACAAAGGGTGAGATTGTGAAAGCCCTGGTGCCTTCTATGAAGGAAGAAAGAGAAATATTTCCTTAAGAAGGGGAGTTGGCTGCTGGGTGGGGGAGAGTATATGTGTACTTAGTGGTGGGGTTTGTGCCTGTATGCATCCTTGTGTGTGTGCTTGGGTGTGTGTTGCATCAAGTACTTAATAAATTGTTTTTTTTAAATAAGTGTTTAAAAAGTTGATTTTAGAGAGAGGAAGGGGAAGGGAAGGAGGGAGCGAGGGAGGGAATGAGGGAGGGAGAGAGAGAGAGGGAGAGAGAGGGAGAGAGAGAGGGAGAGAGAGAGAGAAACATCTGTTGGTTGCCTCCTCCATGCACCCTGACTACAAGATTGAACCTGCAACCTGGGTATGTGCCCCAATTGGAAATGGAACTGGCCACTTCTTGGTATATGGCAAGACGCTCTAACCAACGGAGCCACACTGGCCAGGGCTAGAGGAAGGCTGTTTTGATGACTATGTCCTTATAATGTAGTTTGATATCAGGTAGCCTGATTCCTTCAACTTTGGAGAACCCCACTTTTAACAGGTGAAAACTTAAAACAGTCCTCAACTTTAAAACTTAATTTTACATATAAGCCTTATTGTTATTTAAGTATAAATTGGGAATAGTTCAGTAAGTTAGTTTTGCTCCTTTGTTATTAAAAATACACAGTATATAAGGAAGAGCATTGGGCAGTGCTACAAGTAATTATAAATGAATTAATCAGTTTTTGAAGAATCAATTTTCTTTCACTCTGACCTATTCAGGGAACTAGATGTTCCTTGCAAATTTCTTATAAATTAAATAGAAATCCCATCATAAGTAATCATCTGTAGCAGGTTCCTCCAATGACATGAATAGTCATTATCATTGTACATGATTAGCAATGTGGTCACCAAGGGAGGTAAAGTTCAAAGAAAGTACTTATTTGAAGAATGCAAACATTGTTAAATTAGGAATTTCTCTCATTCAGATCTAATTAACATGATATGTAAATCACAAATGTGCAACTGCTTCAACAGATGAATTATTTGTATTCCCTGTGTTTCTTAGTTTTCAGAAATGTTAATTCTTTAAAAAAATATTTTTATTGATTTTAGAGAGAGGAAGGGAAAGGAGTAGAGAGATAGAAACATTGATGAGAGAGAAACGTTGATAGATGGGCTGCCTCCTGCATGCCTTCCACTGGGGATCAAACCGCAACCCAGCATGTGCCCTGACTGGGAATTGAACCAGTGATCTCTTGGTTCATGGGTCGATGCTCAACCACTTAGCCATGCCAGCAGGACTTGAAATGTTAATTCTTAATGAAAATTACACTGATATTATGTTATTCTGGAGATGTTAATGTGAGTTTATACTAAAAAATTTAAAAAGTAATATGGCAATTAAATATCTAAAAACAAAACAGTAACCTCACCCTCCCCCCCCCCAAAAAAAACCCCACCACACAAACAAACCAAAAAACCCCCACAAAACACCAAACCAAACCAAACCAAACAAGAACATCAACACCTTGGGATGTATTTACTATTTGAAAATGAAAAATAATTCAAATGAGTTTCTGGACCAAGTAACCCTGAAGATAAAAGTGCTCTGTTTGGTTATCAAGTTAAGTTGTGAACTATGACTTTTCAAATGACCTACTGCCTTGGAATGTTACCCATTGGGGAAAAAAAAGGTTCTGGAAGATTGTGAATTAAGACCTTATATAGAAACATTGATGAGAGAGAAACATTAACTTAGTGGGAAATTGTATAATATAAATTTCTTAATGAATATTGAGATGTAGTGTAATTTGTATATAGAACTATAATATTTTCTGGTGATATCAATTTAGGAGTTTGGTGATTATTCTAAGAACTTTGGACTTTTTAGATTTCTAATTTATAAAGAGATCCAGAAATGTGTAGTAAGGAAACCTGATTGCTAGTTTCTAAGTCATATTTTCCTATAAAGTCTTTTTTAGCTCTTTTAAAAGTATATGATAAATGGTATTTTAATCAAGATAGTGACATTTCTTCCTAGGATGATTTTTCTTTTTTGAGTAACGTTAAAACAATAAATATTATAAAAAGTTATCCTTCTCAGGTAAAGCCAATAAAGTTTTGGAAATAGATTTCATTAAAAGAAACTACCTTGGCTCTATTTTGATGTTTGACTCATGTGGATTGTTTGACATGAGTTGACATTATGAAAAGTCTTAGGGAAAGTAAGTGTTGAAGACCTTCCATAGAAAGAGATACAGTTACAGATTTAAAGGTTAAATTAACAATGGTGGTAGTTGATCTTTTTTTCTTTTTTTAGTGCTCACCCAAGGATATTTTCCCATGGATTTTTAGAAAGAGTGGAAGAGAGAGGGAAAGACAGAGAGAAATATCAATGTGAGAGAAACACATAGATTGGTTGCCTCCAGAGCCCGGGCCGGGGAGGAGCCTGCAACACAGGTAACGTGCCCTTGATTAGAATTGCACCAGGGATCCTTCTGTCTGCAGGCTGACACTCTACCCACTGAGCCAAACCAGCTAGGGCTGCTGGTGGTTAATCTTTATCTAAATTCTGCCATGTGCCATTTCATTAAAACAGATTCAGAGAAGTTTGATAACTTGTTCAAAGTCAGCTAACATGTTAAGAGCTGAGATTCAATTCTGACACTTTGATACCAAGATTTTCCACCCGCAGTAATGTTGTATGTCTGAAGTTCTGTTTAAGTATTTAAGAACTTAGTGGAAAATGCAGATTGATCAGTATCACCAAAATAAGTGTCATTAATAATGTAAAAGTTGTTCAGTATTGGTAACGGTATAAAGATATCCTTGAAATAGCCACAAGAGGTCAGCACTTAGCTGTTACATGTGGTATAACAAGTCTACTGTTAGTGGAGTATTTGGCCCCAAATTGTATTCAGTTGTTAAATATCATTGCAGTGTATTGCAAATGTATTATTGTTAACAGATGAGAAGCATTTTAATAGCTGTGGCTATGCTAATGTGATATTTTTTTCCTAGTTCCTTTGCATTTCTCTTAAATCAGAGATACAGTCTTTTATGAAAAAGAATATAATCATGCCAGTTTATTTCTCCTGTAAGGATGTTTCAAATCTATGTTTATACTTTAGGTATTAGCAAAAATTCATGACATGCTCAGTGCATGCTGCATTCTCAATTTCTGTTAAAAATTTTGTAGCAGCCCTGACCGGTTTGGCTCAGTGGATAGGGCGTCGGCCTGCAGACTGAAGGGTCCCAGGTTCGATTCTGGTCAAGGGCATGTTGCGGGCACATCCCCAGTAAGGTGTGTGCAAGAGGCAGCTGATCAATGTTTCTCTCTCATCGATGTTTCTAACTCTCTATCCCTCTCCCTTCCTCTCTGTAAAAAATCAATAAAATATATAAAAAAAATTTTGTAGCAAATTTGATTTTTAGAAGATTTATGGAGCACTGTATTACACACAATATTTCCAACACAGTTATGAAGCTGCCTAATTGGTATTTTTATTGCTTCTGCAAGATCAGGAGTTTCTTGAAGGCACCATATCTTACTCAGGTTTTAATCCCAGCTCCTACCATAGTACTTCTTCCATAGTAAATGCTTGCTGAATATTTGTTGACCAAATGTCTGATGAGAGGCACAAAAATGAGAGTCCATAGGGAGTCTGAGTCCTAATTTCATTAGCGTGAAGCTTTTGCCTTTGAGCAAATTATTAAACTTTGAGTCTTAATTTCTATATCTGTAAAATGGGTACAATAAAAACTTCATAGGGTTGTCAAAGCATTCTAATATGTATACAGTTTCTCTCACATCATAATTAATAGACATAGCTATTATCGTTCATAGCAATGATCATTACTAATTATTACTAGTAATAATGGTCTTGGAGTGAGAACACGTAGGGATGTATAACTGGACTTGGGGCCAACTCTGGGACTATATTGTGTGTAGGACTTTTTCTTCACTTTTCTCCTCTGTGTGCCAGCATGCGTGTATGAGTGAGATTATACAGCTTGGGCTGTCAGAGTATTGTATGGGGATTTTAAATCATCATTTTTCTCATTTTGTGACCAAGGAACCCAAACCAGAGATTGCAAATGAGATCAGACCAAGTCTGAACAAGGTGTTCCTGGGCTCAGTACACCAGACAATGCTACTGAGCTTCCTGAGGTACTAGAAAACCACGTACCAAGCATTTTCTTACAGCTGCGTGTGTGTGTGTGTGTGTGTGTGTGTGTGTGAGAGAGAGAGAGAGAGAGCGAGAGAGAGAGAGGAGGGGATGGAGAGAGAGAGAAAGGGAGAGAGATTGGTTGATTCAGTGTCCATCAGTGTCCTTGTTTTTCTCACTATTCAAGAGCATCAGTCATCTGCACTGTTAGCCCTGGCCGGATAGCTCAGTTGGTTAGAGCATCGTCCTGACACACCAGGGTTATGGGTGTGATCCCCAGTCAGGGCACATACAAGGAGCAACCAATGAATGCAAAAATGAGTGGAACAACAAATCGATGGTTCCAGAGAAGGCAGCGGTAGCAACTGCAAACTTGGGTATAGTGGATAGATCGTTTAAAAAATATCATTGCTACTTGGATATATGATTTTTGTACTAGAAATATGTGATAACTATGCATGTTCCTTTTAGAAAGTAAATTTTCTGGTGCTATTTTTCTTAGTCCTCTGATGCTGTCTCAAGTATCAATAATTTTTAAAATCTATTTTTGATAGCTACCACAATATTTGAAGCTGGAAAGGACAAACGTAATCCAGATGAGTTCGCCGTGGCACTTGACAAAACTCTTGGAGACTTTGCGTTCCCAGATGAATTTGTCTTTGATGTTTGGGGAGCCGTTAGTGATGCCAGACGAGGAGGATTATGATGTGGCTGGTCCATCTCTGGAGAAATGAACCATTGTTCCTGTGCGTGTGTGTATGTTTTTAAATAAACCTATAAGGCTGTTTTTGGACACTGGTTTGGTTTTTATGTGTATGGAATACATTCTTTTTTTTGAAATATAATTTTGATTTCTGGGTACTTTTTAATGCAATTGAATATATAGGATGCTTAAGATAAATTACCTAAAATTTGATCAATTTTAATATCATTTAAAAGTTATTTTTAAAGTAAATTTTAGGGAATGTTTCTGGATAGATAATTTTGTTCCCCATTAATACCCATGTTTGGTTTTCTACATGTAAGTAGTTGATTGCAATAGCTTTGTAGTTCTTTTGCAAAATCTTAATGCTGTGAAAATTAGCCTTGGAGTATGATTTGCTTCATAGCATCTTCATTTTGTTATGTTAGCTTGAATAGGATATGTTCAGGAAATAACATGTGAATCACACCTGCTGTAGGTCTAGAAGCACTGTTTTAATTTTCAATCCACTGAGTAAAGGGAGGAGGATTTCTATAGCCTGTTGATGTCAATGACCTACTTTCTTTGTGAAACAAGGATTGATTGACTTTTATATTTTGCCTCTTTGTAAATTGCTGCTTTGGTTCTTAAAACCTATTGTTGAAATCTACTGCGCTGTGCATTTGTTTGCATGCGTGGAAGAAGGGTGAAAAGGGCAGAGAGGGTAGAAATCACGTATACTTGATTTTTGTAAAAACACTTCTTGAAACATTATTTCTTTTTCCACCCGTACCTACTTTTTATGTTACCCTTTGTAAGCACTCCAGGGAAAGTTTTTATAGTCTTTGTAGAACTTTTCTTTTGAAAGAGATGTACTCAGGAAATAACTATGTTTGAGAACACTTTTTGGGTGAAAGAGCAATACAGCTCCCAAACATTTAAACCCCCTAAACTTTAGAGGAGATAGTGTCAGAAATAAAGGAGGAAGGGAGCATTGGGAAAATATGTTAGCCTATTATTTTAGAGTTCTAACAGACCCTCTCTAACACCTTACATTATTGAGAAAATTGAGGGTAAATGATTGTCCTATCACTTTTACTGGACATTTTACAGAGGCAAGGGAAATGGAAATGAATGGCTTCAACTCGGATCAGTAATAAGGAAGAGCCTGGTGTGATGGAGCATTCTGCTAAAGTGTTAGATGGAAAATGCTGTGTGCTGCCATGGGAATCAGAAATCATAGCCTGCGAGGCCTGTATTCTAGGAAATCAGAAGTAGTTCCCTTTCCCCGCTGGGTTAATGATTAGATAACTCTTGTTTTCTGGTGCAACTTTACTTTTGCTGCCATCCACTCCACTTTCACAGAAGTTTAATGCCATGTAGCTGATCTTCTGTGTCTCATTCATCTGAAACCTGCACAGAAGCTGTTTTAGTCATTAATGTGCAATAAAAGTGATTATAGAATGTGAATGGTCTTATTGCTCTTGCCCACCATTTGAAAATAGGATCCAGCTCAGGCTGTAATTTGTTGCTATTTGTTTCATGGTGTGTTTTTTTTTTTTTTTGAAGTCCTCGAATGACTATTAATTCTTAATGTCACCTCTCTTAGAAGGATACACCCAAAAAAGAACTAATATTTTTAGAAATGGGGAAGTTATTGGATGATTTAGCCCATAGAAACATTTTAGTTTGAACAAGGAAATAATTTCTTGGCATAGAAGTTAGATTTGAAAGGATGAGTCCTTGTTTGTTATTGATGGATGTTTCTTCTTCCTTTTTGGGCATGCATGAGGATTGAAACTGGGTGCTGATTCCCTGTAATTTATGGAATCTCAAATTCACAAAGTGAGAGTGCTCACCATGATCTTTCTAGGATTTTGGTGTGTAAGGTACTGATGCCCATGTCCAGCGGTCACTGTAATTGTCAACATCAATCGGGCAGTTATCATTATTAAGAGCTTCAGCTGGGCACAGGTGCTTTAATACTAATCGATTTTTCCTTCAAATGTCTTCATCTCTCACCTCTACTGCTAAACTGATAGTAGGGACAGTTTCTTTACATTGTTTTAGTCCTTTACCTGAAAATATATACATCTGTGAACTTTGTGCCTTTTGGTGACTCTCAGTGCACAAAAGGAGTACACTTTCTTTTTAGTTGTCACCATCTGTTGCTACAATGAAACAAATCATATATATATATATGAATATTTTTAAAAACATGCCATTTTCCCAGCTGGTGTGGCTCAGTGACTGAGCATCAACCTATGAATCAGGAAGTCATGGTTTGATATCTGGTCAGGGCACATGCACGGGTTGTAGGCTGGATCCCCCTGAGGGGGCATGCAGGAGGAGCCAATCAATGATTCTGTTGCTACAATGAAACAAATCATATATATATATATGAATATTTTTAAAAACATGCCATTTTCCCAGCTGGTGTGGCTCAGTGACTGAGCATCAACCTATGAATCAGGAAGTCATGGTTTGATATCTGGTCAGGGCACATGCACGGGTTGTAGGCTGGATCCCCCTGAGGGGGCATGCAGGAGGAGCCAATCAATGATTCTCTCTCATCAGAATGATTCTTTTATTATTGATTTCCTTCCATGCAAAACAGCCTCTTCCAGTGGCCACTAAGAGCACACTGTATGTTTTCTTCATGGCAGAGCATGTAGATGATGATTGACCATTAGGCTCAATGGGGCCTTGAACATAGCTTGGTCCTTATCGAATGTACACACTCTGATGGTTACAAATAGGCATATTTTGGTTTTTTTGGTGATGTTTTAAAAACAAAATTACATGATTATATGTTGTGAAACTTTCAGAATTTAATTATTAAATCAGCGATCAGTTAACTGTTTGGGGCTGCTATAGCCAATATTACAAAATTGACTAAATAGAGATAATAA